CCCCAAAACCCCAAAACCCCAAAACCCCAAAACCCCGGTATGGGTATTTATAGTTGATTTGAATTAGTTTTAATTAAGAAAGGAATGTTGTATAAGGCATTTGTTGTGTTATTAATGTGACTCCCTTGTATCTGATTTGCGATACTACCTGAGGTTAACAGATACTTGAGTTCTTCAAGCTCTTCTGATTGAAGAACTTGAGTTGATAATAACTCTTTGAATTGGTGAACTAACTCAGGAAATGAGCCAGAAATAGGTGAATGATGCAGTTCAGGCGACTCCACAGGCTATTGTTCAGGAAGTAGCTATGTTTGATCAAATTCAAGCAAGATCTCTGGAGATAATGCAGAGTTAATGCTCTGTCCTATTGACACAGGCTATTGTGGGACTAGAGTCAGATATTTTGGAGGTCTTGGTACTGCAACCCCCATTCAAGTCTCAGACGTGCCCAGTAACTCATTGTGCGCCTATCGAATTTATACTAGTGGGGATAGTGTAGGAAATGTAGAAGTTGCTGTCAGTAAGTGCTATGGAAATCTCTTTGTTTACTTTCTCACTAATTAATTCTGATACATCAGAAATTTTGCTTCCTCATTTCCAACTTAGTAAACAAATTGATTTATCAGAAATTCATAAATGCCAAAATCAATGAGAAATTTCATTCCTAAATTTTATTACCTATTAACTATACTTTCATAAGAATCTTCGAGCACAACAGAATCGAAAAAATCGTAAAGAAGGTCTCACCACCACGATCTAACCCCCTCTTATTATCTCATCATCTCCCCTCTTATTCCCCAATTTCCCCCCTCTAAAGCCCCTTCAGACCTTCTATTCCCTCATCTCCTCTAGGCGAACTGAGCAGTGGCTCTATTACAGTGCTGAGAGGGAAGAAGAACGAAAATGAGTATATTTATAGCAGACGTATGTTTAAAGGCAATTCTAAGAACTTTACTATGAATGAAGACAATAATGTTTACATTGTGTTCGTACCTTCAGCAGTCTCGAATAATGCAACTATCAGACTTACTTCTTATAGAGGCCCGTAAGTTGTGAGTATGATATATAGGCTAACGACTGCTGAGGTTATTGCCATTCTGGCTATTGTAGGAAGCATTTTATTTTGTTGATTCCTTGGTATTGGCATTGTGTTATGGAAATGTGTGTTCAAAAAGAGGAAGAACCAAGGCCACGTACACCATCCGACACCACCTCCAGCCCCCACCATCCCTGCTCCACCCCCAATCATCGAAACCCCAATCATCGAAGCCCCACCTCCTATGCAACCTTCCATCATCGAGACCTCCCAGCGCTTCCGTAATCCCTCTCTTCACCCTGCAGCCCCTCCAGATCCAATCTACGACCAGCCAGTCTACGACCAGCCAGTTTACGGCCATCCAGCCGCCTTCCCCAGCCAGCCAGGCCCACTATACGGGCAGCCACAGTACGTTGACTCAGGAATGGGATCAATGTAAGTCTTTGACAAGGTGCTTGTAATCCCTCTGTCCCAATTCAAAATCTCTCTTCCTAACTCCTCACTTGTTGCCCTAATAAAGCTCTCACTAATCAAGACCTAAACCCCAAGGCATTTCTTTGCTCCCCAAATTAAGCGTGTTCTTACTCTTCTAACCTCCTCATACATAATACTTATATCTTTAGGAATCCGTACTTAATGGCTCCTGATGTGAGCTTGCCTCCGATTACAGCACCTATGGGACCAGGAGGTAAGGAAAGACTAATCTTTAGGTGACCCCTCTGCGCCTGTAAGCAAGCCTGAGGCTGTATAGTAACAGGAGGGTTTTTGGATTTTGAAATTTTGAGATCTACAAGTTGAGTTTGGGTTCAAGAGTTTGAACTGTATTGGGGTTTTGGGGTTTTGGGGTTTTGGGG